GGGGGTTTGGGTATTAAAGTAGAATACGAATCATAACTGGCCAATACGATAAAGAATGCAATACCATGAGGCGAGTTGGGATTCTTTCTTGGATAAAAGTGATGGGATAGAGAGAGAGAGGAGATCGCAGAATATATATAGCCCATTAAAAACTTATTGGAAAAGAAAAAGATCTTAGAACAAAAAAAAAGTGAACATTGTTGTTGCTATTGTTGCTGTTAGGGTGTAACGCCCGTACGTACACACACCTTTACACCCCCACAGGCAATATACCCAGTCCCTCCATTACACACGGTCGTAGTTTTACCAGATACTTTGGGATTGTTTATACTGGTCCTGTACATGCCTCTCGGAACGGGATAGGGTGTTCCTCGACCACCGTACGTTTGGCACTGGCAAGATGCGTTAGCATTGGGGGGGGGTTTTTTTATAGCTGAGATGATATTTCATTACGGAGGCTTTTGAAGAGCGCTGGGAGGGTTTTTGTCCGACATGATAATGATGTGGCGGATTTTATGGCCGTGGAGTGATTGCGCTTTTTTCCTTGGTTGAGCTGAGGACTCTAGATTAGACGGAGAATGTTTTAACGCATCAATCGAGCACCAGAGTCTAGTGTCGATGGGTCAGAGTGTGAAGTTGTTTCACCGCCTTACTCTCACCACAGGTTGTAAGATCCAGATGATTGTAGTAGCTAGGATTGGGTCTGTATTCGTGGAGTTATTGTAGGTCGAGTGAAAGTACGTAATTTTGAAAGCAGGGCTACCCTATCTACGCTAGTTAACGCATCGACACAGGGTACCTTGTTGTAACTACGGTAGGCAATAGTAGCCGATCCAACACGCCACATCTCTGCTTGGACACCAACGCCAACTCCTACCATGACATCTTTCGAAACTCGGACATTTTTCGTACGCTCTAGTCACCATGAGAGATTGTGGGGCCAAAGGTGAGAGATCAAAGCGCAGCGCCTGCCGTCTTGGAATAAGCTAGACAACATCAGACGAACCATCTTCAGGATAGTTAGCTTATTGTAACAACGGAGCTTTTCGACAAGAGAGCCGCAAATCTTACTAACTAGGTGTCAAGAACAATAACTATACACACAAGAAATAACGAGGACATACGTAAAAGCGCGCATGTCTACACAATCTACCTTATATCGTTAAACCACGCAAGAGATCCAACGTGTTGATATCATTGAAGAGATGATTTTTCCGCCATGGAACAAGGGTCGTTCAAGATCAGCCAGTCGAAACCAAAGACTATGTTCCTAATGCTCAAAAACGAGCCAGCTTCACCGTAATTTCCACCACCAGAGTAGTCGCTTACACAGCTACCGCGCGCTTCCACTTGCTTTCTTCCATCCTGACCCCACTTATCTGTCGCCCCTGGACATATCCCTTGCATCTGCTTATTCAAGGCTCTCAGGAAAAGTCGTTGGGCTAGAACTTCCACAGCGTTGCATCGTGACTCGTGGCACAAGCCTCGAAGCTGCGCTTTATTCGTATTGATAATCTTGTGACGATAGATCTAGCATAGTATTTGTACCTTACGCGGTTAGGTAGCTATGCACCAAGAATAGAAGCACGCCTGTCAGCCTATGTATGATCGATGTGTGCTTTTGGGCCTTGACGAGCACTTGACGGGCGCGCGGGTGCCTGCCTTGTCCGCTTTTCTGCGCTCACGCTGCAGTTCATGTCGGTGTAATTATGCAGTAGTTTTACGTGAGATAAGCGCAGGGGGGTACACTGTAGTGGGGCTGTTTCCTAGGATACAAGGGTCGTAGGGTTTTAGCGTGTAACGTGTCCGTGCACCTTGTGCCCGGATTCATCTCATGCCCCGCGAACACCATCTTAGCGATCTCAAATTTGAAGCTGTACAACACCACACAATAGCTTAATATTAATAAAAACATAGCATTGCAGTAATTAGATACTTGCGATTAACTTGTACTATCTGAATTTTTGTGGGAGGTTGACGTTGCGGCCACGTGATGTGGTCTTTGGTGGTGGAGGCGATGGAGGAGATGCAACTCTATCGCGAGCTCTATCCTCCATCGCTCGTTTTTGACGCTTGTTCTTAGAAGAGGGCGCTCTTGAGGCTTTACGCTTGCGTTGTTGAGCTTGTTGGGTGGCTTTTTTCTGGTGTTGAGCTTCAACTTTGCGCGCGCGTTCAGCTGCTTTCTCAGCTCGCTCAAGCTCCCTTATCTCCTTGAGCCTCTGCCTCTCTACACGCTTCTCCTCGAGCTTAACTTGACGCTGCAGTTGAACCTCCTCACGCTGCTTCTTGGCCTGTGCTTTTTGGAGTTTCTCCTCTATCTTATCTCGCTCCCGTACTACTTCTCTAGCTCGAGCCTCGCGTATCTTGCGAGGAGACCAGAAGACAGAGCCACCGTGATACTCCTGGCGCTGTTGAAGGTCAAGAGCTTTGCCCTTCTTCTTATGCTTCTTTTTATGTTGAAGAGCCTCCTTTAAGCCCTCGTTCTCATGCTGTAAAAGCTTATACTGCACAGAGAGATGGTGAACGCTTGAGCGCAGCTTTCTTGCCTCATACTGATGGCTATCATTGACAGCAGCTCGTACTAACCGATCGAGCTTTCTCCAGTCATGATCAGAGAGCCCTGAAGATGAGCTTCTCTCAGCTTCTGGCGTGCTGGCAAATCTACGAAGGATAACGTTGGGATCTATTGGCCATATACCAGTAGCTTCAAACGCTTTTAATATAGTTGATTGCTTAAACGAGGCCTGCCAAGCTCTCCAGAAGAGTGGGAAGAAGTCTCCTTTCTTAATTGGAATGAGGCCTTGAGCCTTGTAGAGATGGTTAGTGAGCTCGTTGGAGTAGGCTTGAGAGAGTGGCTTGAACAGCACTACATCGAGCGGCTGGAGCGTATGAGTCGAATGGGGAGGAAGGATCATGAGGAGGATCCTATGGCGATCGCAGTACTTGATAAACTCCATCGTGAGGTGAGATCCATGGCCATCAAGGATGAGCAATCGCCATCTCCCTGATCGCTGCTTTGTATAGCGATCAAACACCTGCTCTAGCCAAGCTAGGCCTACGTCATTGTTTGACCAGCCTGTTAGAGATGATGAGACAAAGACCTCATGTTCTCCTGCCTTAATATCCTCCACCCAACTCGATCGTATGGCTCCATTTTTAGCTGCGTAGATAAGGGCTGGAGGCAGCGAGCTCCCATCGGCGCAGCAGCAGGCCAGGAGTGTCAGAAACTCGCGTGATCCATCCTGGAGAGATGCTCGAACCTCTTTCTTATCCCATTGACGCCTGCTAAATATCCTCTTACTCCTGCCTATCATACCAATAAGGAAGCCCTTTTCATCCATATTGTATATATCTCGAGCCTCTAGGTGGTATTCGGTGATCTTCTGGTGCAGCAGCTCGAAGTAGAGTCTATACTTTGACTCAGAATCAGCCAGGTGGCGCGTACGATCCATGGCGGTGGTCCACTTTGAGATAAGATAGATCTCGTGTCGGTTAATGAAGCGAGTAACCCAGCTCTCGCTGAGCTGCTGATGGGCTACTTCTGATGAGAAATTCCTGATCATCTCTCTTGTAGGAGGTAGGCCTTGCTTAGTGAGCTTAGTGATATATCGTACAAGCTCTAACTCTTGTTGTGGGCCGATAGCTTGCTGCTGAGCGTATCCATCGCTCCTAGGCCCTGTCACGCGCCTCCATCTTCGCCCTAGCGTTGAGCGGTTAACCCCCCATTTTTCAGCAACTTCTTTTAATGTGAATTTCTCTCCTGGATCGCGCGATTCTAAATCTGCAATCGCTCCATCAATCGGAGCCATAGTTGTGGAGTTATTGCGCGTCAAAGTTGTAGTATTGAGACACGCGTCGGTGTTCGGCGGGGCATGAGATGAATCCGGGCATGAGGTGCACGGACACGTTAAGCGCCATGGATGCACAGACATGGATGACTAACTAAGTATGTATCGCTAGGGTTGTATGGGATAAACTGGGGTAGATGGCATATAGACGTGATACGTTGGAGTTGGCGGATGTACCGTCGCTTATTGTGTGATGGAAGACCCAGACGGTAGTAAGTTGGTTCTGATCCGTCCCTGGATTGTGGAGAACGACAAGGCGCCAGAAGAGTTTTGTGCCGACATCATCCTTCCAATCTAGCTTGTGCTGAGCCTTCAGCACTGCCGCGAGTTCATCGTTATTTTCCCCCGCATTGGTTGGAATAATATATTTCTTTC